ACATCAAATTATTAGGTTATTAAAGTCATTTATTAAGAGCTTGTACGACAATTAGAGCTGAACTTTTACCAACACTTTTTATTGATGAGGAAAGCGAAAAAAAAAAGTATGGAGAAGCATGAATTTTAAGGTCTTGGATTTATCACAGAAAGGTTTAAAATGATAATTAAGTCATCAAAAAATGAATCAAGAAATAACTGATTAGTGTTTGCCATCAGAACAACATTTAACTGTATTTCACAGCCTAAGAGTAGTGTAGTTGCATCATCAGTTTAACAAACTTTTTCATGCTCTATGAAGAATCTTAGTCTCATTAGCTGATAAACTAGTATTGTTCCTCCGTTTTACGACGATTCAGTGTATTGGATGTCAACCGCATTCTTAGATCAAAATTATTCTATATTTCACGATTTAAAACTAGTTCCCTGAAATTGTAGGATTATAATCCTTGTAAAAGATTTCATGTGCAATATTCCACATCACAATTCTTGCTTTTATGCTACTAATTTCGATTCTTAGGAAAATGGAATGTTTCAAGCGTATACAAGCAAGTGAGATTAAAATTCTTACAAGCAAATCTGGATCGAAAAGCAGAAGCGGCATAGCCAGTAAATTTCTATTTGCAAAAACTTTAACGATACACGCTTGATATATGTAAGGTCATTAATTTTGGGTGCATGAAACTAGGAAATAGTTTATCGAATACGTAAATATAAATACATAAGAGATGACAAAGAACGCGCTTATCCTATAATTATTTTATTTCATTATTTTCTGATGAAATCAAGGGATGAAAAAATTAATAAATCTCTACATTACTGAAAGATGATACCAGTAGAAAATTAGATGGAAATAAATTTTGCATTGTTTATTGGGGCTACTCACCTACAACAAAATTGGCCAAGTATGTTGCAGGAATGAAAGTGCAGACGAATCATATGGAGACAATTCTATTTCTAAAAGATGACTGGTTTCCAATTGCAGATTTCTATTTAAAACGCGAATTTTCATACAGAAATTGTAGTTCTTCAGAGTGATGTACGCAGTATCAACCTTATGTGCTCATTTTTTCCTCTTCCTCCGACCCTGTCCAATGAATTTCATAAATATCGCATTAAAAGGCTTTAATTTTTTCTCTATCAACAACGACCTCAATCATATTTGGATTTATCATTTTCATTATAATTTCAATTACAATTTCATTATAATTTCAACGTGTGTCTATGTGTGACTACATCTCATTTTGTCAACAGATCCTCTCTCTATGAAACATCGCACTTTCCAGATCAGGCACCGAAACGACCTAATAGCAGCAATATGTTTGCCACACGGATTTCCGGCCTCACCGCTACCGTTGTTTCAGTTGGAACTATTATCGTGGCATTCTTGTATATTCCGCTGATTATCATGAAAATAACCGAAATGAACGAGAGGGTAAATTCGTTATTATGTCATATAGTCTTCACTGTTTTCTGCACTCAGCTCATAGAAAATTTGTTACAGTTGTAAAAGTCATCAAATAGCAAGATCACATTGTTCGTTTCCATTTGATTGAAAAAAAAATTTTATCTCAAAGATTTTGTAGGAAAGGTTTTGCACTTCAAAAAATAGATTGTTTATTGTGACTGAAAAATGTGGTTTGCAAATTATTACTTGAATTCCCTTCATTTAATCTGAAATTAAAAAAGCACGAAAAAAAAAAAAAAAAAACTGAACTCTGATGAATTTTGGTTGAAACTGAACTCTGATGAATTCCGTATGATTGCGAATGAAGCTTAGGAACAACTGTTTGAAAGCGCATACTAAACAGAGAAAAAAGACAGGTAGTTGTTCATTTTAAACAATTAGTAAGTTCACTTTTCAAGTCCATTACATTTCTCAATGACCCCTTCAGAATAAAATGTTCCCATTATTGAAACAACTGCCTGCCATTCATCTCACCGTCAAAAAAATTTTATTATCATGGGTATCTATTTAACCTCGTCATCTTTACATAAGACATAATCAACTGCAGTATGATTCGGAACAAAACATTAATCCATTCCATAACGAATATTCCAGACCGGAAAATTCTGCACAACAATCAATCTGTGATACATCATTTTTACATATGATTATATAGTTCTCATTTTCCAAATTACAGGATTTATACTAATTCAATGAAGTACAAAAAATAAGTATAAACTCACCAAGATTATTTTCTTCAGTCCTCACATCTGATAAGAATTTCAGAATGTCAAAGATCGAATCCCTGTTCTTCAGGGTCACCAGGACTGCCAGGAAAACCTGTTAGTTATCCAAACTGTTAGCAAGAAGTATTAAAAAATGAGTTCTCTTTAGTGATTATCAGAAAGCTTTGTTTTCCAGTCCAATAATTTCACTACTATAATTTCAGTCTCTTCTCGTGCATTTCTTTCATGCAAAATTTACAGGGCGAAGATGGAATGCCTGGTAAACCAGGAATATCTGGAACTCTAGGACTATCTGGAAATGCCATTCCAGTCACAGCCAATTATGTAACCTTTCATTAATATGTGATACCCATGAAGATGTTCTTAATCTGTTAACTAGAATTATTATCTGCAGTTCACAAACATATCCCTGAAAGTTTATATGATTGTAGAGCAGCAACTGTCGACTATGTTCCTGAGGCCAGCAAGGTTCTCCTGCCTACAGGGACAGGAAGGCACTTCAGGACCAGGACGTATTGGTGGACCAGGAAGAACTGGTTATGCAGGTGAAACATGTCTCTAGTTAATTTCATGCTAGAAATTTTATGGGATTCAGTTGTAGGTGTTCCTGGAGTAACTGGAGAAATGGGTGCACGCGGTAAATCTGGTGAGCCAGGATCCGTTGGATTAAATGGGACATGTGGTCAAAAAAGTCTACCTGGGAAAAAAGACGAGCCAGGTTCATTTGGAACAAGAGGTCTCGAAGGGTATCGCGGACGAGCAGGACAGAGAGGAAAGGATGGTTTGTTATTTATAACATTCAAAAAGGAATGAAATGACAGGCATGTGTGCTAAACTACTAAATCAATGTTTAGGTGAAACAGGATCGCAAGGTCCAGCAGGAGGAATACGAAGTCCTCTTGGGCAAAACGGAGCAGCAGGTAGATCTAGGTATGCCAGGTGAAGATGCACAATACTGCTCATGTCCACCACGCATGGGTAGCAGAAAATCATCGTATAGGGAAGTCGATATTGAAAGCCGAATACCTTCAGTGTATACTGAGCTATCCATAAATGATTTAAGTAGTGCTCGCTATATGAAGAGAAGCAGAAAAGTTTGAAAAACTGCTTTAGTGCCACTAAGCTGTAATAAATTTGTTCATCTCAATATTTCGTATTCTAAGCACATATTCTAAGCGTATTCTAAGCACATCGCATATCTACGAAATCGTAAGAGAACAAAGAAATGATTGTCGTGGAAGATTTGATAGTTTAATTATTAATTTTGGGAGAGGTTTTTGGTCGCAGGGAGATTGGTTGGATGTAGGTGTAAATATGTGGGGTAATCAGAGAAATAAACCAATTTTTTTATTAGCAGAAGAATAGCACAATACGTTGATAAAGAATAATTGAAATTGAACTTTTGGTAAAAAATACACATACTGAAACTTTTCAACAAGGGTTACCCTTATATAGCAATTATATCTTACATTATATATGTTAAGATGTGGGAGTGGTTTATAATTAGACATTTTTGTACAAAGGATAAATTGTCTAAACATGATAATGAGTTACTTTAATAATAAGTTATAATGAATATCACAATGGATTGAATGGATATCACAAAGGAAAGTACAATGGGTTGTCTAGGCATTATGATGAGTGACTATAATGGGTTGCAATAGACATTACATGATAGTATGTGAATTGATATAAGATCAAAGGTCAGTTAAACCATTACGATGAATTGTAAAAGACATCAATGGATTGCTATATTAAGCATTGTTAACATTTATTTAGTGCTTCGCGATGTTAAAATCCGCGACAATGATAATGAATAAATAAGAGATATATTTTGCACTCATTTTCATAAACCAAATGGCGGAATAAAATTAGTTCCTAAATACTTTGGGATAAGAAAAGATAAGTGATATTTCTGCTTCTCAGCTTAGCACATCCAATTCCATAACTTTTACTTATAGGAAGATAATTGTTAATCAAACAAATCATAACCAAATAAAATGCAAAGAAATTCAGTCCCGACTCTTTTCCTGACTTCCAAGTTCACCGCATAAGTATTGAAAAAGCTGCAGAAAAGAAATAATTCCTCCTCTTCCTTAACGTAAGTAGTGCTGCCTACGATACACTCAACCCAAAATTCAATACCGCACAAAAAAGAGCACCCGCTAAAAAAGTGCCTTAAACCTTTTGTGCTGGAGTATCACGGATGGACGTTGTTTGTGGAAAATTGTTAAGTGAGCGTTCAGCCGCTGGTAGGGTGGCGTAGATTTTCTCGTACATCTGGGTATGTTGGAAATGAGGGTATATAAGTGGATATGCGATAAGTTTACCAAACAAAAAGTGGGCGCAAGCAACAGCATTGAAAACTTTCGAGTATTTTCCCTCCCTGTGTGAGTACAAGGTCTCCGTGTTTACGTTTTAGCATGCTATAATTTACGATAAATGAGGTAACTTCCGATTTCATTGTGTCCTCGCAGTGCCATATTAAGATGTATATTTTTAGTTATAGACAGTTTGGTCATTACAGTGAATCTTTCGTTCTCCCATCTGAAAGTATGTGTTCGTCCAGGATGTAGATAGGTGCGTGCTTTCCACGTTTTTTTTTTTTGTTTTTTTTTTCCCTGTTTCGAAGAAAATAATTCAGGATATAAAAAGTCGAGTATGCGGTTTACTCATTTCATCGGTACTATCACTGATTTTCTGCTGTTAGTTCTTTATGGTTTGCAAGAGACGAGTTATTTTGCTTGGTGACAACGTATTTATTGTTATTGGTTATTACTGTCATAACAGTTTTATTTTTCAGATGTGATGTCATCGAACTTCAGTCCGGTATCAACCCTAGGTTTGCCAACGAAACATGTGGGTGCGGTTAGTGGTGCTGATGTGGGTGCGTCAGTTCTTCCACAGTTTCGTTGTAGTCCAAGTAGCCAAACTCGATCGCAATCGTCAAGTACTACTACACAGTTGCTTAGTCCAAATAGCCAAATCAGGTCGCAATTGCAACAAGTTACACAATCTGCACAACGTCCGACAAGTTCTGACGCATGCTCTACAATCACACAGTATCTGATGATGTATCATACGGTAGTTACATTACTATTTCGAAACTATCTGGAAGTAGTTATTTCTGAATCTTTGAGTATTTTCACTTTTCTTAGACATATTCCAAGGAAAAAATTATGTCTTTGTCTCATTTGTTGTTGATGGTGTATAAATTGATTAAACCAGGTTTTTCTCGATTGTAATTAAGCTATGCGTAAAATTGAATAAGGAAGAATATATGAAGTTCAGCATCACAACCAATTATAGTGTGTACTTTTTAGGGACGAGATGAGGAGTTCAGTCGCAAAGCCATTGAAAGTCTGATTAAGAAATTGAAGGATAAGCATGATGAATTAGATGCACTGATCACCACTATAACATCACATGGGAAGATTTCTCCGAAATGTATCACGATTCAGCGTACTTTGGATGGACGACTACAGGTAACAAAATTAATGTTTTCGTTCCATTCATCTAGTAAGTCTTGGTTTTATATGATAATTTGGTTTGCTGTAGATATCTTTTTTTATTTTAGTGCTTTGTGTCCGTTTCTTATCGCTTTTCCTTTCCAATGTTTTATTATAATCTGACAGGAAAGTATTAAATAAGAATCTGTTATGTTATAGTCATTTTTTGTTTTCGTCTTTCATCTTATGTAGCTAAAGATCAAAATTTATCCAATCAGTAACATAAGGAATTTAACTAATTCAAATTTCCTTATTTGTTGTAGGTAGCTGGAAGAAAAGGTTTTCCGCACGTCGTTTATGCACGTATTTGGAGATGGCCTGATTTACATAAAAATGAACTGAAACACTTACCAATTTGTCAATGTGCATTTGACCTGAAATGTGACCTTGTAAGATTTTTTGGCATTTAATGTATCCAAATATCTAAAAGCGAACAATTTTTTTTTTCCTTCAAAATTTCTTTCCAAATCATAGTTGATGAGTTCGTGTTGTAGGTTTGCGTTAATCCATACCATTACGAACGTGTTGTTCCGCCAGGTATCGGCACTATTGATTTGTCAAATTTAAAAATTGAACATCGTTGTGCATCGCAAGACGATTCAAACACGTTGTCTCCAGGAAGTACAGGAACTAGCGATGATCTGTCAAAGTAATTTTTTAAATTTTATGACAATCTGTAGGCGTTTTTTTTTTCCTTTTAATATATTAATGTCAATTTCGGTTTAAGTTGAGAATATACATTTATTTAATATGTATGGTTTACCAATCTTAGTACAGAATCTCTATTCTAATCACGAAGTGGCGTTTCCTGCGGAATGCTAGATATCAATAAAATTTTATAATTACTTATCGAAACTCTGTGAAGTTTCCATACAATTCAGTGCAGTTGATATAGCTTAACGCACCGTGTTTGGCATTTTGACTGGAGATTAAATCATATATAATATTACAGGAACTCAGCGCTTAATGAGAATGACGGCTGGACTACAAAGACACTTGCATATGCGTCAACACTGCGTACTTCTAATGTTGTCAAAACAGGTGTTGTTGCAAAGAAATTATTTGTTCTGTTTCATTGTATTAGATGATGTTAATTGATTCACTGTGGAATTCATTCACACTGTAAATTATTGCAGAGACAAGGAAATTGTCTGCTAGTGATCAGGATCTATTTAACGGCTCCAATGTGTGTATGTTACCAAATCAGTCTACTTGGAATAACGGTGAGCAAAAAGCAGTTGTTGCAGCAGTCACAATCCCATCAGAGATTCGTAAGTCCGGTTTAATTTATTTTCATAACGTAAAATTGTATTTTGTTTCATTCTAACTTTCCACTGCTTATGATTTGAAATTTCATGACAGGTCTCTGTTTTTATAGCAGCAGTGATAAATCCAATTCCATTTTCATCTAGCTCCATGCATTCACAAAACAATTTTCCTACTATGGCGTTAAATCCATCCTTACAAGTATCTTCCTCATCAGCATTCACTTACTCGCGTGAGTGACATTATAACACTTTTTCATATTTAGCTCTCGTGACTGTTCTTTAGTCAATAATGTTTAATATAAGATTGCTATATTATATTTTGTTTTTAGAAGTTTTTTGTATGTTTTTACTGAAAATTTCCTTCTATATTATAATTACTAAAGTAAGTTCCTATCAGTGTTTGGTCAGTATAGATCACCTAAAACTGATCTCAAATTGTTATTTAGAGGAAATTCAGCATCACGTAGAATCTAGAGTTCGTGACAAAACGGAACCTATGTCGCTCAGTCCACGTAAGGATTCCAATTTTATTTGCTGTTTTTTATAATCATATACTAATCAAATTTAGAAGTATCCATTACAACAACTTCTCATTGATGGAAAACTGATAATTACAGCCACTTTTCATTCGTTATTGATCTGTTTTTGTTCAAGAACCGGCAAATTGGTGCGTCATTTCTTATTATGAGTTCAATACAAAAGTTGGTGAAACATTTTCTGTAAGTGCACCTGCGGTCTACATTGATGGAGGAGTTGATCCATCTGCTCCCGGTCGTTTTTGTTTAGGATCTCTTTCCAATGTTCAGCGTACCGATGAAAGTGAACGGTGCAGGTTAGTTAATGTATTGTTTACTTTGTTATGTGAATTGTGTTACAAATTTCTTGAATATACTTCTTCGGAAATGTATTGCAAGTATTGAAATGGAGCTTTTTTTGTTTATGCGACTCTTAGCGATAAATGTTGTGTTTATCGATAGGAAGCATATTGGTCGTGGGATTCGATTGGACGTGAAAGGAGAGGGTGACGTTTGGTTGACATGCTTGTCGGATCGACCAGTTTTTGTTCAAAGTTCATATCTGGATCGTGAAGCCGGACGAGTTCCAGGCGATGCTGTACACAAGATTTATTCTCAGGCAACACTGAAGGTTTATGTTTTTGAACTAATTGCCAAGATTCATTCTGAACAGCTTTTCCAGGAAGTGTTAGTAGTTGTCATCCAATAAAATTGTGTACTTTAAAACACTGTATATGAAGCTGCAGATTTCATGGATATTTACTAACTGATTCTAGGTTTTTGATTTACGTCAATGTTACCATCAGCTGCGACAGCAAAATATGTACCAGTTGATAGCGGCAGAAATACTGAATAACTCATCCGACAGTTCAAGAAACCCATTGTTTGGAATGGACAGAAAATCAGCGGAATTTGCCGGCCGTTTAAATCAGGTTACCGTTTTGTTATTCTCCGGCTGATATTTTAGTGATGTTTTATGCAAATTTCAGCAATAACCTCATAACTTTTGAAATTTCTCTACATTCATCAGTTTCCCTTAATTCTAAAATGTAGCGAAGACTACAATTTCAAAAATCAAGACGGAGAGTAAATGATAAGTGCATATTTGGTACTTCATGTACCAGCCGAATATTTAACATTCGGATATTAGTACTTGTTTTGTTTACTATTAATACTTATGTCATTATAGGTTGAAAAAGAGGACCTGGTTGAATCTATAGTTTAATTCTTCAGAAAACACTGATGTATCTCACTATTGCATTACTGTTGTTATTCATGCATTTACTGTTTCTTTATCATTTTAAAATAATACTGATGTTTGTTTAGGCTGCAAATGTTGGTGTCGACGAATTACGCAACTTGTGTTCACTGGCGGTATCTTTTGTGAAAGGATGGGGACCAGATTATGATCGTAAATCAATCAAAGAAACACCATGTTGGATTGAGGTCCAGATAAATAGAGCTCTTCAGCTGCTTGATGAAGTCCTTCATAATCCAACTTTAAGTTCTTCATCTCAATTGTAAAATCTATCCGGCATCAATGTAATGTGATTTTGTCGCCAAACCAGCTATTGCTTTCATCAGTTTATTCAATCTCATTTTGTATTCATTTGATAATGTTAAATTTCGCATTGCTTTGTGGATTTGTTATCATTTCGAAGGAAACGAAGGAATAATTATGATGTACTATCCCCTACGGTAATATAAAATTTTATTAAATACCATTTTCTAGATGTTATATTTCATGTAACAAATCCGTAAAATGTTTTTGCAGATATTTCTTTTTTTTTGTATTTTATTACCAATGTGAATGCATATTCGGATTTCAGGTTTTCCCTTCATTTCCCTTTGTTTTAGTGTTTTCTTTGCTTTTTATCCGGTGCTCAGAAATCTTCTCTTTATATTTTAAATGAAAAAGGTTAATAAAGAAATCATTTCATCGCTTTCTTTAACCATAGAGCTCGATGGAGCTGCAAAATTTCTCTGCATATTCGTTGGATTTTATAGACGTAACATACGTAAGCTGATATATATTTGAAGAATAATTATGCAAATATTTCTGCTTTATTAATAAATAGGAATATAAATTGCAAGTCAGGATACAACTGTTTGACCCTAGATACTTCTTGAATAGTCTGTAGGCGCAACAATCACACGTTTTTTGAAGTAATTGAAAGTGTACACGGAAGTTACGTTGTTAAGTCAATTTGCAGATCACTTTATTTGTTATTTTTTCATTTATGTTACCTAGTTTGAAGCGCTGCTCTTAACACATCATATTTAAAATTTGACTAAAAGTTGTGTATCCAATAAATGGCTTATACTGTTATCGTAAAAACAAATGCCTTTCTTCTCCCATCAAAATTTGAAATTTTGGAAGCAAAGAAAGAAAAGCTAGAGATTTCAAAGACTCTTCGAGTTTCCTTTTGCTATCAAAATAAATATATTTCTACAGATGAATTGCGGTCTTGTATGAATTCTTTCGAGGTTAAAGATTATTTAGCGACACTATTGCTATTCGTCACCATTTACTGATGACGAAATATAGAGCTGAAAACGCTAAGCTCTTAATTCCATCTATTTTTAAGCTTTGGTTTAATTCCCGAAAAAATCTGGAAGTTTTATTTTCAAATGAATATCGATACTAATAGCTAACATGAACCGCCAACAGAAATCGTCGCTTAAAAAATGAAGCTTCATTGGTTAAATAACAGAACAAACTCTTGACAATTATAGTTCCAAGCTTTATATTATAGTTTCAAAACGGTTATGGCACATTACCAGTATTCTTTATCTGGCTTTATTTATGATATTCATCGTTGAATATGTCCTCCTGTTTCTCACTATCACTCTTACAATCTGTTTGAGGTTAGAGCGAGTCGTCCTCTCTTTCCATTTCGCAAAACTTTCGCGATTTCTTTTTCAATTGCTCTTTGGTTCTTTGATAAGCTATTAATCTTTTCATTGTTGATCAGCTATTACTATACAAACAATTTCAGTGAAATTAATTGTACAAATAACGGTGGAAGCGGAAGTTTTTTTTGTGCAGGCCAAAATTAAAATAATGAATACAACATCAAGCAATGAATTCAGTGCTCCTCATATTACAGTAATGAAACTGTCCTTTACTCAACACATCACCAGTAGAACTTTTAGTGTATTATTAAATGTTAATGAATCATCCAGTCTGACTTTCATTTATATCTTGAAAGCGTTTATTTAGTTTTATTTGCAAGGATTTTAGAACAGAATAATAAGTGCAGCATATGAGAAGGAGCTACCAGGTCTATTAATTCAAAAAAATATGACGTGATTACTTTTGGCATCGTTTGTAGATTACAACATAATCGCAGAAATCCTTTTAAATCGTAGTTTGAACGTTTTCTTATCAGGTTGATCATCAAAAAACAACTGTGAGGTTTCACGTACAATCTGCAATATCTGTATAGTTATTTTTGCTCACGATGAGAAGCTTTTAGCAGCTAGAAAAGCTTTTTCTGGTTAACTGCTAGTCTATTCAGACTTCATTACATTAACTTATTTTACAATATGAATTGAAGTAAAGAAAAAAAAAATGAAAGGAATCACGAACAGAAAAAAAAAGAATCTACGAGTATATTTCTTCATTATGGCAAATAATTCATCAAATCATTACTTTAGTCCTGCACTTCTCAAAACAGGATTAAAATCTTATGACATTTATTTTTGCTACGGCCTTGGAGCCGAAAATTGTAAAGCAATTATATACAGAAAACTATAGTACCGATACAAAAACATCACAAATGATGAAGAAAGCAGTTTAATTGTAAAGCTATTGATTCATTTTTGAAAGCAACAAATAGGCCACAACAGAGATGAAATAAAACGAAGATATGGCAATACGGGAAAACAACTTGTTGCGAAAACCATATTACAGAGAGCTTTTTCAGAAACGAAAGTGTTCACTTTCAAATCGGTTCTCTTTCGTATTGCCAGCTCAGTTCAGCCAGCAATACGAAAGATATGCAAAATGAAGTTGTCACATGGAATTGTCATAGTAGCAGCAGCATTGGTCTAGCAACTGTCTAGAATGCTTTGCAATAAATCGATGAAACATTTAATGTGTTTATCACCCACACAGCTTCTCTCCTTTCTTTATCTTATTATTAGCGTTGCATACCCCTCATTATTTCTCTGCCAATTGTTTGGTACTAAGTGCAGTAACTCTTGACATCAGGAAACATTTTTCAGTGAAAAAAAAAAAAAAAACGTACACGTTCAAGCCTGTCACCACTTTTCTATTAAAATTAAATGCTTACTGAAACTGTGAAGATACATCGGTCAATGGAAAAAGTTCTGCGATTTTATGGGGCAAATTTTGCGGAATTTAACGTTTTGGATAAATCGCTAAGGCCATCTTGCCATCATACAACGTGTCGCTTTGAAATGTAACAGTGCGACGCGCCGACGTGTAGCTAAACGAGTACTGAGGCAAAGCTGCCTAACTTAACTAAGGTGTTCCTGAGGTTTTCATTAATTTCAACTGTGGACTTACATGCTAGCACATAATATGTAAATTTAGATTGTTGCTATACGTTTATCAATTTCTTTAAGTCGCCACCGCTCACGGAAATAATTTTCAAGTGCACATAAAGTCATTTTTTCTACGAACTGGTTTTCCTCCAATGAACTCATAATTTGTGGTTATTAATATGCCGATTACCAGATTGATTTATTGCACCAAAAAATACCGCAGTAATCAAAAATCTGTACGTCGTTCCGAAAATGGGAAACGTAGCAGGTTGTATCTCATATTAAATATTCATCAGTTGTTTTAATCTCCCAAATGTGTTGACAAAACAGTTTTTCCCTTTACAAAAAGATAAATAATATGCACTCTGATTTTCACAACATCATCTGATCAGTAGTATGTTGAGAATCTGTTATATGTGGTTATCATCTTCCAATACTATTTTTTAACTTTGTCACTTTCATTAACGGTAATAACAAAAATATCTTCTAGCATTTTTCTCTTAGTCATATATGCTAATTTATTTATGATTCAAATGTCCTATTCACTATTTTTAACCTTGTGCTTTTTACAGACATAGAAGGATGGTACTAGCCGATGTCGCGTTCCATGATTCCGGTAAGTAAATGAGTTACAGCTTTCAGAATAGAAAGTTAGGAACCTACTTTCCTTTCTTTCTAATTTTCTGATTGCACAATGGAGAAGCAATAACCATCAATTAGTGGAGAATAAATAAATTATATTAAAGTTTTATGTTCTCCTGGTCAATCCTCCTATTTCTGTCGGATTTTTAATATATATTGTTTGTTTCTTTTTCATACTTTGACATTGCGAATTCCTTATGTTTCATAAACAGAAAACATCTACCAATTGGTTTCGAGGTACTCTTTCTAACGTACTGTTTCTGTATTCGAAATTTCTCATGAAAGATTTGAGTGCAATTTTCCGAAGATTGCATTGATTCAGTTTAGAAAGAATTATTTGAAATTGTGTGAATTGTTTGTACTCGCTTAGCACAACTGTCTTGGGTTTTTCTGTGGTTTACTTTTCTGGGTGGTGCATTTATACACACTGAAGGCGCTGTATAAAAAGAACTTTATGGGGAGCACTAGCGGTGCAAGCCGACTGAAAGTGTTCAGAGCGGTCCCCTTCATCATTCATGACATTGTCCCCTATTTTCGACTAACGTTTCATTTTTGTCAAACATGAGTGTTTCAAGAAAGCATTTGATGAATTACCGTAATGGATGCTTTGGAGTGAAAAAGTTCATTAAACAGCCTGAGCAAAATGTTCAGCATATTAATAGCGACCATTTCAGGAAGCATAGAGCTAATAGACGATGATCTGAACTGTAAATTGAAATGACCTAAATTTGCCTGCTGTAAATAAAATCGATAATAATGAGCATTAGAATAACACTTTCACTTTGCTAACAGTTCTAATACAGTGTAAAGACATACAGAGGAGAGTAGAAAACAACAAAAGAGAATTTAATTGATTGGAGCCATCTAGTTCTGTGGTTTATGTTGGACATAAGCATATCTTTAGTTTCTTCTTCTGTTTCCCGCTCGATCTTTTTCCCTCCCTCTTCGTTGACATGTGCAGGTTGGCTAACAGTAAGGCAATTATATCTGTCAGTGCAATTTAAATCGACTCCTCTCTTTCTCCCTCTCAAGTCGTCACTCTGGAAAGATTTGGCGTAAGTCGATATTTTTGAACTAATAATCATTTCCTTTCAAACTCAAATAAAATTTGTTAATCAAGAAGAACTTGCCGCGTTTAAATTACTCCTACTGTTATTGTTACTGTTGCAGTATAGCGATGATCGATCTTATATTTTCTCTTTTACTTAATTCTAAGTTCCAAACTTCATGTATTTTCTTGATTGACCTAGTATTTCGTTGAATTTGTGCTGAAATGAGTTTTCCTGCCATCATTGTTCTCATACCGGTTGTACTTATCCATTTTTTCTTTCATGTTATCTGGTCTATTCTCACTTTTGCTTGCATTACTCTCTTCATGGTTACCTTTGACACTTTGTTTTGAAACCTATAATTTTCAGTATTTCACCACTAAAATATTTTAAATTTTAGCATTTTTTAATTTCATTTCGATATGTTGCTTGAAAGGAATGTTGCCAATGAATTAAAGAATAAGAGTCGGAAATTTTTTCCTATCTTGAAATTTGGTGAATTCTGAAATATGGCAAGGATTTGTGCTATATGACTGCTATGCTAGTTGGTGTTTCTCTCTTAACATGTTATCTTAGATGATCTATTTACCTAAAACAGTGATATTTCTCCAAAATATGAGGAAGAAATATATAGAAGGTATCAGATACCACATAATTTGGTTTATTTGCGTCGAGTTTTGAATATGTAAGTTTTATTTCCATGTCGCATTTCAAGCCATATAATTCCAACAAACCTGTCGTAAATTATGGATCCAATATAAAAGTCACTTGAACCGATTCTAACCCAATGGATCACTTTTTGATAATGGAATGTCGAAATTAGTCTGAGACTAACGCCAAAGTGTTTTCAAGTACTTTGTCTTTTAGGAAGTAAAACATAACTTCTACATGATATTGTTTCCGGATATTATTGTGTATTATAGTTTTCTTTCCTAAGTGACCGAATTTTTCTATATGAAGCAATAAGTTCTGAATTAACCGTACATACTTCTTGCTTAAAAATAAATGAAAAAGATCGCCTACAATCTTTATATAGATACTTTATATCGTCTTGATATCTCCCTCTAGTTTGTACTACTTTTTTCACACTAATTTGAATTCAAAAGACGAATATCTTTTTTTTTCTTTTCGTTGACTCCATTAAAATATGTAATGCTGAAATAAGTCGATTTCTGATCAGATATGATAATGACTTATGGAAAGATTATTTATAATACAGAATGAAGGATATATATATCAACATTAATTAATGCTTGAGAATGAGAAATGAGAGTGTAATCATGGATGAGGTTTTGCAATGTTCCAAGATGGTCATCAATGTCAATACCTTATGTTGATTGATGAGCGTGTTTTATTTGTTCAATAAGACTAGTCACTATGTAGTTTGCTACGCTAATCCATTTGTTGAATTTGGATATTTCCGGTGTGCTCAGAATTGGTTATTTAATATAATTGTTTGTTTTCTAATTTTCATAATGAATTCCGGTACTAATTGTTTGTTTTCCTCATTCATAATGAATTACAGTTTCTAGTGTTATACTTTACGGTGTCTTTATTTCTTCTAAGAACAAATATTCTTTAAATTGCTTTCATAGTTGTTGGTAACAATGAAGCTGCTGGTACTTTCACAAGTTATCTATATTGAAATGAAATTGTTAATGATTTAGTGAATGTCGCTTCTCGTTTTGCACAACATTTCTTAATATTGCTTGTATGACAGTGGTATGATATTTTTTCAAAGGCAATTTTTTTATGCCATATTTTACAGTGTAAGTGAACGCTTCGGAGTTGATTGGTATGATATTGGATAAACCTCCTAAAGACAAATATAATGCTGTCTATTTCATTTTACTACTTCACGGGATAGGTGTTTTGATGCCATGGAACATGTTCATCACAATTGCTCCCTCTGTAAGTTTGCATAGTTAAGTCGTTAATTTGTTTCAAACTGAAATTTAGTGAAGAGTTTAAAATAATTGGAGGATTAAAGGAGATTATAAGCGATTTACTGCATAAGGAATAGAGGATCACGATCGATGTTTCTTACGAATGTTGTTTTACATTTTTTAATATAACATAAATCACCAATGTAGTTAAAAACTTAGCAGCAAGTTTTTCGTAGCAGGTGGTCTTAGCACTTAGTGGAAGCAAAACCAAAATTTAAGCAAATTCACTTGTAAAGAAAAGTTACAGAAACTTAATGCATTATAATATAGTCATTCCAGATTCTAAGCCACTTAAATTTTTTGATGGTATGGTCCGGTTTGAAGACCTCAAAATTCAGTGTTACATAATTTGAATTGAAAGATATCCCGTTACCGTTGTGGAATTATCATTCAGAATCTGTGAAGTCCTTGCCTCACAATCATATTCCAAAAAATTATTTTAAGTAAAACACTCTGCAGAATCTAACAGCTTGAACATGGTTAATTTATTTCCTTGCATTAAACAATGATTCGCAATCTAAAGACGAAGCTGAAGAAGCCTCTTGTCAGTACTTATGTTAATACTGAAATTGCTGGCTTTACAAACTAGTTTTAGTACTACGTGGATTATAAATTTGTGGAGGTGAGCGCCGATGGTATGGTGCACAAGAGTGATTATGCGCTTCATTTTTTGAGTTATCTTGGTCTTGCTTCGCAAATACCGACTTTGCTACTTAATCTGATCAACTTATTCGTCCAGATCAAGTTTGTACTATTTCAGAATATCTGTTTTATACTTGAGTGTTCCACAGAGATTACAAAGAAAAAATGAACTATTAGAAACTATTTTAACCAGAGAGATGATTTAATCGGCTGCTTTTCATATCCTTGTTGCATTGCTGACCAGATAGATGGTCTTGGATTTCGTTAATAATGGTTGTAAGTGGTGAATATATTGCGCATAAGATAGATATCAATAAAACGAAACAAATCAGAATGAAAATGCATTGAAAGTTTAATTTTAGTCATCTGATGATGATAGTTTTCACTGAATTTTCATTTTTTTTTTTCGCCAATAAATTTGTCCGCAGCAATTTACAGAGGTGATCTCAGACGACGAATTAGCTTTTCACTTCTTATTTTAGCCATTATTATTCTGGTAACGCTGATATTCACCCTTATTAACACTTCTCACAGTAAGTTTTCATTTCCTTAACCAAGGTTAAACTCTGTTCCTGCTGACTTATTTCTGCAATTTTTTTTTCCTATAAGTGGAGTAATTTTCAATTTTCTTCATTATTCAATTCATTCTTTTCAGTGATTAGTGCATTTTTCTTCATTACTATGACTACAGTGGTATTATTAAATGCAGCTAATGGTGTTTATCAAAGTTCACTCTATGGTTTAACTGCCAACTTTCCGCCTCAATATACCAATGCACTGATACTGGGCAACAATATATGCGGTACATTTGTATCTGTCGTAAATATTGTAACGCTGGTTGGTGAGTTACATTTTATACTTAGATTCTTCTATGACTAAATGAATACTAATGGGGAAAGTTTTTAATTTTGAACTTATTTTTATCCTTTCATATTTCTGCTCTACATTCATTCTTATTATCACTTCAAAGGTGAATATCCAAAAATGGATGTTCATCTCTATTTTAAATCACAGTACAGAAATACAGCGCTTACTTTCATACTTGAAACTTATTTCATTATCACCCTTATTTTATAATAATGATATCAACAAAAACCGTCTATCAACAAAAAACCAAAAACTAAAAAGTTATAGTATATGGAGACAGAAATGTGCATATTCGTTCCCAGCAATTTTCAAATAGTTCAAGTTGCTGCAAACTAATGTCATGTCTATATAATTTTGATTTACGCTTATTCATGACACATTTCTTGATTAGTGATTTTAAAAAAAATTTATTAAAATTATTTCTGGTAGTTCACAGAAAATTTTCCAATAATTCACAGATTAATAAACTGTAACTGGTGTTATTGCCGTTATGAAGTGATGATATCGCAACAAACTATTCTTTTAATGAAGAATCGAGGTGTTTCAGTTGCAAAAAGTGTATGGATGGCGGCTTTCTTCTATTTTTTGATGTCCTTGTTGACGGTGTCTGCTTGTTTTGGATCAATATTCTTGCTAGAAAAACTTGTATGTGTGCAATTTGACCCTATCTTTATTTTCATTGTTGTAAGGGTTTAAAAAAAAAAAAAAAAACTAAACATTTCATTATTTTAAAGCAATTTTTTTAGGAGTTTTACGAATACCACATGAGAAAAACACAAAAACACGGTGATAAGAACGAACATGAGGAAGGCCAGCATTTAGAAAGGATCAACACTGTAGATGGAGCAACCATGGATGGAACCGAAATGATTGGAGTTGTGCCTAAAGCAGGCTTGAAAGCAAAATTAAAGTTATACTTCCAGGTTTTCAAAAAGGTTGGTATCTTTTACACTTATTTCAATTTTTAAGAAATTTAAGTCAATTATATACTTTCCTGATGGTATCGACTTCCGAAAATACTACCTGGACGATTTTTTTTTTTTCCACTCGAAACTTAGCTCTTGGTAAAGATTTCATTGGAACATATTTGGTTCGTAGATGTTAGCCATAAGCTGGCTTTTACTCAATGACAAACTGATTTCAAAATAAGGCACATCAATAAATTGGGAGATATCACGTTTTTATTGAAACTAATAAAAGATGCTTGCTTCTACTGGAATTGCTAAGCAATGTTAAGCACAGTTGGGTATAAGTTCTTTTAAAAAATTTTTCGATTCTTGAACTTGTTGCCATGTTTGGGATAAAATTTGCAATATGCTGTTGTGAAATAAACATATTTTCAGATTTGGATTCAGTGTTTTAATGTGTGGTGTGTGTTTTTCGTCACATTAGCAGTATTTCCTGTAGTAATGGCTGACATCAAATACTACAGTAAAAGTGGAAAATATGATTTCTTTATAGCAGGTGCTTTTTTACATTCGTTCTAATCTTCTGCCATCTTTTGGCAGATGAGCGGGATCGTAACAGTGATGGAAATTAAATTAATAAGTTAATTTTGGTAATCATAAAAAATCTTAATTTACAAAAAACTTAGTGAGAATTAGATTAATGGTAGTTTGAACCCTTACAAAAGAGAAGATTCATATTGATTGGCAGTAAAAAATGGATTTCCTTGAATTACTAAACGTTTTTTAAATGCATTTCCACTATCAAATCTTTTTCGATTTGTCATCAAATAACTTAATCTGTTTTTTGTCTGAACTGTCGAAGAAAATTTCTTTGCAATTCACTGCGCTGAATCTAACACTATGAATATTCAATTAGCAAATTTGTAGAGAAACTGTTCACTCCAGTCACAACATACTTGCTGTTCAATTTCTTTGCTGCTGCTGGATCATTTCTGGCTAATTTTGTACAGTGGGTATGTGGGTTATTTGTTTTTGAAGTTTTTTGACTTGTTTGGGATTGTAAAATAAAATTTTTGATTAAAATTTTAGCCATCACCAAAATGGCTGATTGTTCCGGTAACAGCGCGCATTGCACTTATTCCACTGTTAATGTTTTGTTACTTCCGTCCTGAATACCGAACCTGGAATGTATGGTTTTACAATGTATGGATTTACATCATTTTTGCAGTTATCATGTCCATCACCAGTGGGTATTTCAGCTCCATAATAATGATGTACGTTCCAAGGTAAGTATAACTTCGCTTTCATATACCCTAACAATAATGCTTGCTGCGTATTATATCCCTTATTTATTGTTTCAAAAGTTCCGATTATTTCATTTAGGATAGTGGAACCATCCAAGTCAACAGTTGCAAGCATGATAGCAGCGTTCTTCCTGATTTTCGGTATTATTTTTCTTTAATATACTGACTTCTGAATTTATACAGTGAAAAAAAAGCAGTAATATTCTTCCCAGTTAACCGGATTTTCTATAGGAGTTCTAAAGAACTATAGAATTATGAATCGTGTTAGAGAATTGTAAACTAGGCGTGGGATATACATTCTCGTCATTGATCTTTGTTGAAAATATAACTGGCTTCGTAAGCTGCGTGAGTGAACCATGAATAAGGCCGTATAATTTCATTTATACTTGATGTAATAGTATGTTGTACAATTTTAGTGAGAGATAATTTTAGTTTTTTGTCTCACAAGGAGTTACCAGATTTTCTAATTCTGCTACTTCACTTTACTTTCGAGTTTGAAATGTGAGAAGTGCGTCTTACTTTAGAATTGCAAATATGAAAAGTGAAGTTTGGAAATTACCCAGATCAAGAAAGTTTTAAATGAATATACTTCATATTCCCTCTGTTACATTTGTAAATTACCAGAATACGAAAATCAGGAATGCTCAAAATTACCGTTTCAAATAGTACATTTGTTGCAGGCATAACATGTGGAATAATGTTTACGTTTTTCGTTTCTTGGTTTATCGATAACGCAGGAGTACATAACCCAGGAGGTTTTGACACAGTAATGTGAAGATTTACTTAATGCCCTTATTTGTTTAGAAATAAATTTTGTTGATTTCGAATTTGTTCAACTCTAAAACAGTCAAAAAAATTCTACTCAAATGAAGTTTTCATTGCATCTTTGCGCTAATAATCATTAAAACTGGATAAATTATGTTAGCCAGAGGTTAAGAAATAGGGAAGTAAATACATAGTGTAACAAACGCAACATTATTACCACATGAACAATACACGATGCGGTTGCTGTCCAAGGATAAAGCAAGAAAGTGAATCGCCAGGAAATCATGACCCTTACCATCCTAGATTCTAGACGTAAATGGGTAGCGAGAGGAAACAATGGGAAGAACTAATTTTGTTTTTTTTTTTCTTGGCACTCGAGAAGCCAACACTTGTTTGCGCATTGTTTACTATAATTCGAATGGTAACAGCAGACAACATTCCTAGCATGCATGAACAAGTCAAATTTATTTTAGCGGATTTGGTAATGCTTACTGTAGAAGCCTCTTTTTCCCTATGTCTCAGAAAACAATCGAACTGGACTACAACACAGTGACTTAATCGCCGTCTATCAGTGGAAATTGTCGATACTTGCTTGGTGAATCCAATGCGTCCTTTATTAATACCTTATACAGTGAGTTGATAGTTGAAAGATTTTAAAAAGTTAAGTCTTCCACCGACTACGGTAGTAAGGAAGTGGGGACGAGCGTCCTGACTAATTTAACCTCCACCAACGTATTTGTCTACAAACAGGTCGAGCTCCCCTGGTATTTAGCGGTCGGCCAACGATGTTTTTGTTGCTGTGTTTGTGTGGACAGTCGTTTGCGCGTACGTATTCTCGGAATATTCCGTATACGTTAGCGCTTGTTTTCGTTTGCTGTTAACCATTTCTAGGGATGCACTGATTGATGCTAATGACGTTGTCTTGCGTTTCTTTTACATGCCAGTTGCAATCGTTCGGCTCTTATTCTGTCATTGAAATATACCAAATCCTTCTTCATGCTTATATTTGATTTGATTGCTAGCAATTTGCTTGCTTTTTTTGGTGAAAGATTTTTTCAAGAAACGTTTTTCCACTATTATGAATGTTGATTTGACAGAGTGACGTCACTAATTAGTGGATCCACAAATTTGTCGTTATCTTTTTGTCTCAGTTGTATATCGTCCTGTAAAGCTACATCCGCTTGTAGACTGACCTAGATGTTATGTTTTAAATGAAATGCTATCATTACCGTTGTCGTTTGGAATTTAATATGCAAACTTTTAACTTATGAACTTCAATCCTTTCCGTTCGTTATGTGAAACTGAGCAATATTGTTGAAATATGGGTTCCCTAATTGTGTATTCGTATAAAGTTATGTACTTTGTCGTGGTTCATTTATCTCATTTCTTAACCGGTACCGGTAACTATTCTCTGTTGCCGTTCTCAATCCCTTTCACCAATTTTTTTTTTTCTTCGCACTTTTCTATCTTATTCACTTTTCCTTAATTACAAGATTTTTTCAATCATTCGTTCTCTCTCCCTCTCCCTGCCTTTATTTATTACTTTTCTTGAGTCTTTTCAATTTCATTTCCGTTTTGAAAACAAGAAAATATTGAGTAAGAAATAAGTTACTAAACCTTAAACGGAGTGCCGTAGAAATCATTTCCACATAACTGTCACATCGAACATTGAACTGAATAGTTTGACAGTGGTAGTCGGTCTCTTCTGAATATTGGATACTATGTAGGATAGTATTCGTACATCACACTACTGCTGTAGGATTGGTTGATGGAGCAGACTTCGCCGTAGGAAAAAGAATTCATTCTATTTCGTTGTCCTACCATTTTTTATCCTGTCAGCTTATGTCACAAGAAATGAGTTTTTTTTTTTTTTTTTTTGCATTTTTTGCATTTTTTGAAGTCCTTATGTTGATTTGAAGTAGTTTCTTTTTCTTCTTAGTTTCTGAAATTAGTTTCAAAAATTTATTAAAAGAGATGGAGAAAATTTTTATTTGGTCCAGGTTTGAGGACGTTATATATCTTTGTATATGGCAGAGAGGCAGTCGTTCTTTGTTGGAGATTTGTACTTTTGGTTTTAAATTCACTTTTTTAAAATCTATCTTATTAGAATTATTGGTATTCAAAAGTGACAAAAATGACTTTTGTTATGGGAATTAGATCTTATTATATTCATAGTAAATGCAGACTATCACTTTCAATACTCTAGTTGTGTTCATCACTTTGTATGAAAAAGAAATAACTGTGTTAGATGGATCATAGTAAAGGACAGAATACGTTCTGTTTCCTCTTTGAAAGTGAGACTTTCGAAAGAAGAAATTGGTGTAATTATATAAGAACTTACTTTTGTTTCTGCTGTTTCATTCCTTTCTTGTCAAAGTCAAAGACGTTCACGACTGTCTAATAAAGAACGAATTGGTCTGAGATGTTATAATTCACTTTACATTCTGACGTCCGTGGGAATTTTTTTGACTAAGCATAGTGATGGGTAGGAAGGGGAACGATCACTGCAGGAAGTGGTAACAATATTCTTCTACCCTTCAGATTAGTGGCTGTACAACGTGGCTTTAGAAGTTTTATAACCAAAAAATTGACCATTTGATTAATTTAATAATGACTATCGTTTTTTAATGATTTCAGTCTAATTTTTTATTTTACTAAACGCAATCTTATTGGTTAAACATAACTTGTTCCAGCTTACTTGCAAGAAGGGAAATGATATATTTCAATAAGTAATCTGTTTATTCAGGTGATGTGCTGCATCAAAATTAATTAATTTTGCGTTGTTTCGGATTTGCTAGAAATTTGAAAGTTGTTACAATTCAAATGCGATAGTCAATGTTGCGTTTTCTCCGGAGTCATATACATCCTGCCGGGGATTTCAGGAACGCCGATATTCATGATTTTTTTGAATATACCCCTGTTAGTGATTAATCATTTCTTTTAGTCAGCCGCCTTTTATAAAATACCATATTTTTATTAGAAGTCCGATGCTGGTAGGTTTTACCGTTTTAAAACCTTTTTTCTTCCTATTTGACTTTCTTTTTATTCTGTTTGACTCAGCAAGTTTCAGAAATTTTGTGAATTGAAATTTGAAACAAATAATATTTTCGTTTAAAGGATTTGTTATATGTATATAATTTTCCAATAAGTGAGTAAGATTCGGAACTTTCTTTCAATTTCTGTTTGATAGAAAAAGGAGTGGACAGTACAGTGTTTTAATTACTACATTTTGAAAGGGAACGGAACTACACTTGCAGAGTTTGCGACATGGATTCCCACAATTGGTATCGTCCTTGGCGTACGACTACATACTAGGTCTTATGGCAGTAGGTACCAGTGATGGACAAGTTCGAATGTAAGTTTATTATTCTAGACATCCATTATTTAGGATCTTAAATATTAGGTTACTCGCAGTCATAATCGACTGTAGGGTTGTAAAAAAATCAGGATCAAGTAAAACCTGGTATAGTGGGAGCTATCACATTGATTTCAACTTCTCATTTCATGCTCATAAGTGTTTCCAATTAGTATATACTGTTTATTAGGTTAAGGTTAAGTTGGTAGCTTCGAACTGCATGATATGTTATTATCTTATTGTAATAAGTAGTATAATTACAGATTTGGAGCAGAAAACGTGGAATGGAGTTCCACGACACCTCGAAATACCCCCATTGCCCATATGTACTTTGCTGCAGGTCTGGGCTCCCTTATTGTGCTTTGCTCGGATCAATCTTTTCATAAATTTCAAGTTGCTGGTGACATAATTGAGCGCACTACCGCTACTACTGAGGACAGGTAGTTACTACTACCATGGTAAACAGAGATTCTTTTCATCTAGTTTTAAAGAAATTTTTTTCAAAAATCACTCTTGAAGAGTTTCAAAAAAACCAAGTCATCCATTTTTGAATGGCACATCTTGCTAATAGCAGGAAATTTCCAATAGTTTTATCATTATACTTTTAGATTGAAACGGATAACATGCTGTGAAATGCATAATGTGCAAGATCCAACGAATGCCCGTCTGTTCATTGGTACTATCACGGGTAATTTATTTGGATTATGCGCTGTTTCGCTCGAGTTCTCTGAAGTATTGCTTTTTGAGGAGACAATTGTGAAAAGGTTGATATTTCTGATTTCGAACAGCAGTGCTCCCTTTTTTAGCTTCAAAATCAAATTTTAAGATTTATGAAACTCGATATTCTTCAATGCACCTTTTAAAGCTGTTGTACTTCAGCATTAACCCTTCAAAAGGCATTGGAAGATCGGCTAATCAGATTATGGTGAATCCGACTGATGTTAATCAAGTTCTGATTGCATTCGATAACCATATCATTGTCCATTACAATTTACTGAGCAACGAGGTGCTGCATCATTGGATTGTTCAGCAAGCAATTACTGTATGTCATTTATTTTCGTTACTCTTTGGTTTTGTTATGAGCTTCAAATAGGTAGTTGAACAATGTTACAGTGTTCATGCATCAAATAATTTATCTTGCTTTGAATCCAAGTCGCTTATCAGTACTATTACTCGACTGGTTAATTTTCTATGCGTGCATGTGCATTTGTTTTACATGATGTTGAAATTGACGAGATCGCTTTATGCACAACGTAATTATATTATTTCGGACACATTTTGGTATGGTTTATTAACATTTTGACTCAGAAGCAAACATAAAGCATAGCTTCAACTCGTTTGTCACCAATCATTGCGAAATTAATGTGACAAGCTTGTTATTCGTATAACTGTCGACCTGCTCTCACATTTGTGCTCTGCAATTTTTGTACCATTTTTAACTTTTCAAGTTTTTTAATTTATGCTGTTTTAGAGTTTAGCGTGGCATGTTGATGGAGAATATTTCATTTGTTCGCATAGTGACGGCTCCTTAGGAACATGGAAAATTCAGTGTATGGAACCTATGGAGCCATCGATCATACCATTTGGCCCATTTCCATGTACTTCAATCAACAAAGTGCAATGGATATGTGCATCCAGGTGTAGTATAAATCATG